AATGTTAAATTAGAAAACAAATCTTACATCGGTTAGATGTACTATTACTATGCTAGAAATAATATTTTCTTTCTATTTGACGAGCGTAGGATCATAGTAAATATACTCGAATCTAAATCTTGACAGGCAAGAGCAAACTCTTACACAATTGCATGTCTGATAAATGCAATGGTGTTAAGGTATTGTTATAGCGTGAATCATTATCGCTGAAAAATCTAAGCAATTGAGCAAAAAAAAAATATATCGGTGTTTTGAAGCGAAAAAAAAATGAAAGGTAAGATATTAATCTATCTGCGTTTTTTAGATTGATGGTCATCATTTTGATGTTCCGATCTGAAAGTTGTCATGCATTTAATTAAGAGTCTCATTGAAAATAAGAGACTAAATCAAATCTTCAACTATCAATTTTTTTGCCGGGCATCATACATTTTGTAAAGTCAAATTTCTTCTATGTTAATGATGCTGCTTTATTTCTACTAACACACAAATGCTTTCTAAGATAACTTGAGTTAAAAGTATGTTTCTTTCTAACATTTACCAAAAGCATGAAGATAGAACGTTTGTTTTTCTTTTGAAATTTGCAATTTTAGGGTAGCTTCTAGAATCCATCATGAATCTTAGTATTCATTTCAATGTCAAGTAGACAATGGATATGAGAACCTAAGTTTTTCGATACATTGAAATATACAAAATACACAAATGAAAGATTAAATCTAAGGATTTGAATAAATGCTACAAAACTTAACTTCAATCGAGTTCATTTCGTTCAACATAATTCAAGCTTTGTTTTATCATATTTTCAAAACGCTTTACAATTTATATGATTTAACTTGTATACACTTTTGCTTTGGACATCTATTATAAACTATTGTAAGAAATTCACGTGAGCGTACCAAATCATTTTGTTTATTATTATCAAATCTCAGTCATGCTTTTTATTCGTTATTTTCTTTAATACAAATGACCTTTATATATTTTCTTCTATTTAGACGGACATAATTTCTGTTCCACCAAATATTCCACCATCACCCGTAAAATCAGACACACCAACAAATACACAATACGATACTATAGTTACTCAATTAGAAACTATAGTACGTCGTATGGATGATTTCGATCGTCGTTTGAAACTTCTTGAAGGACCTTCCGTAACTAATCAAACAAGAGAATCAATTATTGAAGATGTTGTTAATGTTTTGAATGATGATTTACAATTTTAATTATCTTGTTTCGTCTTTTTGTTTGTTTGTTTCTTTTTAATCACAGTATTTTTTTTTCTCCTCTTATTCCATTAAAACACATTCCTATTTATATTCGTCATTCAGCATTTAAAAATATTCCTATTCGGTGTTCTATTTTCTGCATAAAATAAATTCATTTCTTAATGATTATTTTAGATGAAGACAGCATATATATTTATATTATTATTAGTCTTCTTAGTGACATTCATTTCTGCTGGGTCCGTAATTTTGTTTTTTTGAAATAAAAAAAAAAAAATTTTTATATAATTTTTGTACTTTAGTCGCGATTTTTATAAAATATTGAATTTACCACAATCGGCAACATTAAATCAAATAAAAAAATCTTATCGAAAATTAGCAAAAGAATTACATCCTGATAAGAATACAAATGATCCAAAAGCACAAGAACGTTTTCAAGATTTAGGTGCTGCCTATGAAGTAAATAGAAATTTTTGAAAAAATAAAAATATTATTTCAAAATTTGTTTAGGCACTATCTGATCCTGATAAACGTAAAATTTATGATAAACATGGCGAAGAAGGTTTGAAACAACAAGGTGGTGCAGATTCATTTCATGATCCATTTTCAAGGTGATTTTTATACATGAAAATTTTCTATATAATACAAAATTTCTTTTTTTTTTTCTTTTTTAATAGTTTTTTTGGTGACTTTTTTAATTTTGGTGGTGGATCAAGAGACGATGGACACAATCATGTTCCACGTGGTGGAGATTTAGTTATGGATTTATATGTTACACTTGAAGAAGTGTATAATGGAAATTTTATTGAAGTAAAAGAAATTTTATTGCAAATTTGTGTGCTTTTTTTTAAAACATTTCTATTTAGGTGGTTCGAGCTAAACCAATTGCAAAAACAACAAGTGGCTCAAGAAAATGTAATTGTCGAATGGAGATGCGAACAACACAAATGGGCCCAGGACGAGTAAGATAATTAGTATAAGTTATGATCGACAGCAGGATTCCCGATTGTCTTTGAGAATGAAAAGAACTGAAAATTCGGCTGAAATCATCGACTTTCTGCGATAGTTTGTCTGCAAAGAATGTTCCGAGTAGTGTTCTGCATGGGGTATGACTTTTCTCAACCGAACCAGAGCTAATCGACATTCGGTAGATATTGTCACAGTACGATTTTCAATCTTTTATTTTACATAAACAATTATACTATTGAGTTTCTTCCTTAAACAGCAATAAACAAATAGAGATCATTTCAAACTCCATAAAAAGTTTTAAAGTATAATAAATTGTTGACTCATGATGGAACAGATTTTCACTCCTATACTTTTTCATAAATCCAATGTTGTCTAGAATATATTCATAGTCTGACTTGAAATGATATGATTCAGAAAAGTAAAAATCATAATGATTGAACCTTTTTCTCAATTTATCAAAATTCACTTCACACCGACATCCAACAAATCAAAAACTTGAAAATAATTTTCCATAGAAGTATCTTTTAACATTAACTATATTAATCAAAATTTGATATATGAACTAGTCATTATGACAGAAAATATGATCTATTACTTTGAATTCATTAATAAATAAATTCTAAATCTAATATGCAATCTTCGTTTATTCGTTTTTTTTTTCAGTCTTACGAGGGAACCGTTTCAAGTGATTCACGCCGATTTTGCTTATATTTTGCCCATATGTAGGGGTCAGTATGCTAAGAAAAAGCCTAAGAGGATTTAGGCCCATGTTGCTTCTTTCGAGGGTTATGGCCATTTTACTGATTTTTCGGCCTATGACAAGGTATTTACAAAAAATTCAAATGACGAAATTATGTCTTGAAATTTTGCCCATATGTAGGTCTCATGGTCCTTAATGTATGCTACAAGTTTCACCAAGAATAAATGTTCCATTTTCGAGACAATGATTGTCCAAAAAAACTCGATTTTTCTTAGTCCTCTATAAAATGCAAATATTTATTGCAAATTTATTATCTCGAAAATGGAGCATTTATTTTTGCTGAAACTTTTAGCATACATTTAGGACCATGAGACCTACATATGGGCAAAATTTCAAGACATAATTTCGTCATTTGAATTTTTTGTAAATACCTTGTTATAGGCCGAAAAATCAGTAAAATGGCCATAACCTTCGAAAGAAGCAACATGGGCCCAAATCCTCTTAGGCTTTTTCTTAGCATACTGACCCCTACATATGGGCAAAATATAAGCAAAATCGGCGTGAATCACTTGGAACGGTTCCCTCGTTAGTTGGAACACATTGAATTTCATAGCTAATATTCACAGAGATCAATTGATGATTTTAAGAACGCAAGTTTCATTTGTTTATTTTAGTTTCAAATGATGCAAGAACAAGTATGTGATGAATGTCCAAATATCAAGTAAATAAAATTCATATAGAAATATTTCGTCAAAAAACAAATTATTTTTCATCTATAGGTTTGTCACTGAAGAAAAAGTATTAGAAATTGAAGTTGAACCAGGTGTATCTGATGGATATGAATTACCATTTCATGCTGAAGGTTTGTTTTATAATAAAATTATATGGTTCTGGTCAAAACTAGCTGCTCTCTTCGAAATACTACTATTTCCTATAATATTAAGTTAACATAGTGAGTGCATGCGTACGACAATAAATCCTGATTGCAAGCATCGATTCATTCTCGATAAGTTCACATGTACTAGAGTTATGATATAGACATCATCTTTCTCTTCCAATTACTTTATCTCAACTGTGTTGGTACCCTTTGAGTTAGCATTACTACATCGGCTCACTGACTTTAGTAATAGCACGAGAAAAAAACCCGTAGTGATTTGCGAAATAGCAAAATGGCGAACAAAAACTTTTTGAATGCATATGTTATTTACAAAGAAAAGAAGATGTGTGAGTTTTTCACTTCGGGATATGTTAATCGATCGACGATGAATTCCTGTTTGCTATCAGAGTTTATTGTCATACGCATGCAAATAATAGAAAAATCTCTAAAGATTTGATTTTTCGGACTTTCGTTCTTGAGATATTCTTTTGGGTGTAAGAGCAAATTTTGGTCATATATTTACAACTTCAAAAAAGAAATACTAGTCGCACAGTCGACTAGTCTCATTAACAATATTGTTCATGCAAAGTTTGAAGAAACTCGAGTTTTGATGTCACGCAAGGGAGATCATAGCTTTTTGATGAAAAAGTCAGTAAAATCTCAATATCTCGAGAACAAAGTTCTGAAAAGCCGACTCACCGACATTTCCGTGCTAACACTTCCGCGCATAGATGCTTCCACGCATATAATATTTCCGCACGTCATGCTAGTGAGCTGAAACTTACGTCTAAAATTATTATTTTCTCTTCTCTTCATGTTAAGTTTATAATTATTTCAAAATTTGTGAATATTAATTCATTGTATCATTACAATCAACTTTTTTATTCATAATCATTGATCCAATAATATGAAAACACAAAAGATTTTTCTCATCATATTAATGATTTTTAATTAATGTGATAATATGGAGTCCATGATGTAAATGAACTACAAAATAATTCAAAATTTCGAACTTTTTTAAAGACAGATTATTTTTTGAGATCTGTTAAAATATATATGAGTATAGTAAATATCTCAAACTTCACTAACATATAGTCAGACCTACAATAATCTATAAGAGTCGATCATTGTCTACCAGATTTTACTTCCTTTCCGTATGTTTCCGCCTTCACCCACACTCCAAGGTTGCCATCTGTCTGTGTTTTCACCCGAATCTCTACGTCTTACCTATTCACGCTCACCTTCACAAATTACTTTTCAGCGTAAATTTCAGTACAATAGCATAACGCGCGGAAACATTTCTGCGCGCAGTTGTCTTGTCATGGAAAAACCAAACAATTCTAGATTTTTCTCGTACTCACTAGGACTCAAATATTGTCTCGATCGAAAAACAGTTTGACACCAGGAGAGACTCTCTTGCCAGTATTCAAATGCATAATAGCATTTTAAGGGAGCCAGTTACTTTTGTTCAAAACTGTAATTATTTTCTTTTTATTTATTTATCTAGGAGAACCTCATCTTGAGGGTGAACCAGGAGATCTGAAATTTATTATTCGTATTCAAAAGTAAATAATAGAATATTGAAATATATTTTTAAATAAATATTTTTGAATTCTAGACATCGATATTTTGAACGTAAAAAAAATGATCTGTATACAAATTTAACAATCACTCTTCAAGATGCATTGAATGGATTTAATATATCATTTCCTCATCTTGATGGACATCAAGTACGATATTACTTGTTTAGTTAGTTTAATCTAGATGAATCTTTGTTTTTCTTTTCATAGGTAATAATTAATCGTGAAAAGGTAACATGGCCAGGTGCTCGTATTAAGAAAAAAGGTGAAGGTCTTCCACAACATGATCAAAATACTATTGTTGGTGATCTTTATGTTACTATTGATGTTGATTTTCCAAAAAGTGAACTTAATGATGAACAACGTGAAGGTAAATTTTGATTATTTTAATTTGATTTTTTATGATTTTAATTTAATATGTTTAGCCGTACGAACTTTATTAAATCAAGAATCAAAGCATCGATTGTATAATGGCTTTTAAAAACTCTTAATTGTCGAAATTTTGTTTAGGCTAATATGAATTTCCTTTTAACGGACAATGCACAATATGTGATGTTTGATTTCTTTTTGTGTTTTGTGTTTTGTTTTTTTTTCTTTTTTGATCTGATAAAGTCAAATTATTCGTAATAAAGATGAATTTAAAATCAAAAACTTGAATGAATGATTCTTAATTCGATGAAATTGATGATTTACATTTTTAGACAAGAAAATATGACACAAGGAGAAAAACGTTAGATCATCTTAATATTTTACATAGAAAAAACTTCCCTTATTAATTTATTTATTTTTTTCTTGTTTAATAATGAAATCTTACAAGAAAGCTATCTCATAACATGACTTGATTAATAATGTTTGATGTGTATTGTGTTGAATAAAATATTCGCATATTGAGCTGATTATAGTCGTTTATCAAGATTTTTTTCTTTCGGAGGACTGATTAAAAACTTCGGGAGGGAAAACAGTTTTTATTTCGAACGAAGACCCATTGTATATAATACAAAAACTATAAATTTGCGGGAAGTTCAAATCAATATTTGAAGGGATGTGATTCCTTTGACCAATTGTGCTGGATAAAACAGAAACGAATTATGAATTTGGTTTAGGCAAAAAACTGTATTTTTTTGCAAGATATAAAATAGAAATGAGCCATAAGAATTTTTTTTTTTTTCATATACTTCATACTTCTTTTATGACTGACTGGACGGTAAAAGAATTCATCAACCGAGAATAAAAAGAAAAAGACTTGGTATTTACGCTAAAAAGAAACAAGAACTCTTTCATAAAATTATTGAAGTAAGATGAGTTTAATAAATTGAAAATAAAATTAATCAATTGCGTAGTCAGGAGTTTTTTTGTTTGTGAACAATTTACTGTTCATGGTATTATGAGGAATAGACAGATATAGGCAAGCGCTACTGTTTTCAATACATCTTTGAGTAGTAACATATGGAGCATCTAATTATTATCAACGTCTCAAAAAGAAAAAGCTTATGAACAGTAGCTTTTCGAGCCACGACCAAATGATCCAATTTCCATGACTGAACACACTACTGAAAATAACACCATTCATTATATGATTATGAGTCAAAGTCTTCTGAAATTTAAGTAATATAGCTTGAAATTTTAATCTTTCTTCATTCAACAAACATGAGATTAGTATTCTTTATAAATATATTCATATCAATTACTTTCTACTTATTCTATTGATATATAATTTAATCTTTCAATGTATGATTCATTTTATTTAAATTCATAAATTTTTATAATAAAAATAAATGATTGTTTGCTTTTCAGTTAATTTTTATTGATAAACATAAAAGAAGGATATGAAATATTTTTTTTTTTAGAAAAAAAAAGAAAAATGTGAATACTGTCTATTTTTGTTTGTCTAAACCCATTAAATGTTGAATATAAGATTCCCAATCAGTTTGAGGCAATTTTAAACTATTACAAATATTAGCATATTTTCCACGTGTATCAATCACAAATTTCACAGCTAATTCACCCTTATCAACATATGTTTGAATAATTGGATCATCTTTAAGTGAAAGCTAATAGAAAAGAAATTTTAATATGTATTTATCAATCGAAAATGTTTTGTTTTCTTTTTTTTTTTTTCATTTGATACTTACACCTTCTAATTCAGTGCGTGCTTTTGCTACAAATTGATTAATAGTAGCAATATCAACAGGAAATTTTGTTTTCTGACTATGATATAAAAAATAAAAAAGAACGGAAGCCGTTGATATAAGTCGATGAATTTCATCGGAAACTAAAGAAGATAAATTAAATAATAATAAAAATATTTATTTACTTGTTTATTTATTTACTTGATGATTCTAAGCCTTTTTCTTTTAATTGATTTTTAATTAATTCAAAATTAACATTGAATAATTTGCCAAGACTTTCTGTTGCTGGAAAAGAACCATCCTTAAAATAAAACAAAACAAAATGTCCGAAAGAAAAATAATAAATATGTAATCTACATTATTTTGTTGATGAAAAAGTTCATTTACAAGTGACTCAGTTAATGGCGTTTCGATTATTGATTGTAATGGTGTGTCTAATTAATAATCAATATAAATAAAATTGATAAAATCAATCATTTACCATTTGTGTTATTTGTAGAAGAACCGATTGTTTTCCCCTAATCATAGGTGTCAGATCAATTCTTCTGTAATGCAAGAAATACTTACTGCTTCAGTGCTTGTCATTGTATTAGATCACTTTACTGAATTCTTGCTGCCTGTTTATGGTTGTAATGGCAAAATGAGACGTGTCAAGCGAATTGAAGCTCTATACTTTCTCTTTTTTTTTTCCTTCATTTTTTTTTTTGCTTCAAACTCATATTCTTCTCTTTGATCATTCATACTTTCTTCTTTCTTTTCTTTACTGGGCGGTCGAACAGCGACTGACGACGCTGAAATTGCTGCCGTCTTCGTCTTCATACTCGACGGATCGACAAAAAAGAATTATTAAAGTTTTATTTTTTTTGTTGGTCTATTCTCGTTGTATTACAAGCGCACAATTCTCTAGATTTATTAAAGCGAGAACAAATACGAAGAGTCTCATACGTATTGTCTTATATATGCAAGCTTGAATAAATATTCAAATCGAAATTCTAATTTTTTCAGTGTCAAACAAAAATAATTCTTCATGATTCATTGAACTTCATTTTTATTTTCTTTTGTTTTCATGAAATGAGAAAAAGAAAAGAAAAAGAGAATTGGATATCAAGATAAGGTGATTGTAACCAGAGAGCAAAAAGTATACGCGTCGACACACACACATGCACACAATTACGAAGGGAAAAGCTGACATAAAAAATACAAATAATATTTTCGTCATCATTCATTCTTTCTCTCTCTCTTTGTTTTTAAATACCAACATATACAGAATTAAAGTTGTTCATAAATATTTTGCTTCTACAGATTACATCTAAGTGTGTATTTGCTAATATTAGAACTCTTACTAGTATCCAAAAAAAAAATATACAAAAAAACAACAGTAGGTGTTCTTATGTATGATGAATGGATCTTTCGCTGAGCAATTGGATAAGTAAATATATGTATATATATACATATAAATGATGCAAAAGGAAAAAGAAGAAAACGAAAAAGAAAGTTGAAATCGTGTGGAAATATAACGAATTATAATTCGATTGAGGATGTGTGTTGTGTTTTTGCGACAAATGAAAGAAAAGAAAAGATTTGTGTTTATTTGTGTTAAATAGTTCTTGAAAAAAAAAAAGAGAAGACCGTAGAATAAAAGAAACAAACGAAAAAACAGCATACACGCGTACAACAACGATGACAAAAAAAAACAAAAGAAAAAAAAAATTATGTAATTAAGTAATGTTGAATGATACGTTAATTGGTCACTATTATTTTGATGTCATCATTGTAACGAATTCTTCATAATTAACTTGACCATCTAAATCAAATAAAGATTTTATTTTACAAAATTAAAAAAACAAAAATTAGTTTGGTTTGTTTTTGTTTTTGTTTTTCTTTCATACCTCCATCAATATCTGCTTCGCGGATCATCTCATCAACTTCTTCATCCGTCAATTTTTCTCCTAAATTTGTCATCACATGACTATAAATAGAAATATACATATATATATATATATACATAAGGACAAAAAAGCAAAGCAAAACTTGAAAAAAAGAAATATTCTTTTACCGCAATTCAGCTGCTGAAATAAATCCATTGCCATCTTTGTCAAATACACGGAATGCTTCGCGAATTTCTTCTTCACTATCAGTATCTTTCATTTTACGAGCCATCATTGTGAGAAATTCGGGAAAATCAATTGTACCATTACCTTAAATAAAAAACAAAAAAAAAAAACAATTTTTTTGTGATGATTATCTTTTAAAATAAAAAAAGATAATATTGACATAAGATAATAATTCTTTAGATTAATGATTTAACTACCCGAAGTGATATATCATTTTTAACTTCGTATTGAAAGAATATTTGGACAAAAATAATCCAAATAAAGAATTCAACACCATAGGATGTTTTCTGTAAAATTACGCAAGGTTTCCTAGATTTTAATAAAACATCAGGGTATTCGAAAGAAAATGAAATAGAGAATTTTTTATGGCTTCGAAATTTGTCTACGAATATAATTCATGATCGTTAGAATATTTTAAAAGTTTCTATTAAAATAATATCTTTCTTGTTGAAATATTTAATATAGAAACATAAATTCAACTTCAGAGATCATCAGACGTTTTCAAACATTGAATATTTCAAGAAGGAAATAACTATTTCCATTGAAATTTTCAGAATATTGCTTAGAATGATGAAATTTATTTAAAGAAAAAAAAAACATTCAAGTCAAGAATTTTGTGTCAAATTATTTTAATAAGAATATTTCTATTTTTTTTTTTTTTGAAAATCTAACAAAAGTGATGCTACTCTATCAAAGAATATCTCAAGATCGGAATCTTTTTTTTTTTCGAATAATTTTAATCTAAACATTCTCATTATATGCTAAAAATAGATGAATTATTTCGGTTGATTCCGACATAAGACAAAAATTATTCACTTGTGATTACATCACAGTTCAAAAAGGTTAAATACATGTATTTAAAAATTCGATCGATATTTTATTTATTAAAGACGACAAGCGAATTAAACCCGATGTCGGTTTGTCTTTGAATCACGCAAATCCTATAAGCTGACAGAACAGAAAAACTCACCATCAGCATCTACTTCATTGATCATATCTTGTAATTCAGCCTCAGTTGGATTTTGTCCCAAACTACGCATAACCGTACCTATTTCAAACAAGAATAAATTTATATTTGAAATTACAAAAAGAATATACATATATATTTCATTATTATCTAACCTAATTCTTTGGTCGTGATAGTTCCATCACCATCCTTATCAAAAAGAGAAAAAGCCTCTTTAAATTCAGCTATTTGTTCTTCAGTTAGTTGATCAGCCATGTTGAATATGAAAATATTCTCTTGTTTTTTTTTTTTTTTTCAAGAATTAATTTTCACTACGAACAAAAAAAACACAGTAAATCTAAAAAAACAAATGTAACAAATAATAGTCATAGATATATGAAAAAGAATAAATAAGCAAACACTCCTTGACTCTCATCTAAAATAAATGAGAACGCTTCAATCGATAAAAAGTAATAGATGTCGCTAAAAAAAGAAAATAAATATTCCTACTAACTTTCACAGAAGAAAAAACTGAATGAATCTTATTTGAAAAAAAACACAAAATACCTATTTCTTTTTATTTTATTTTTATTTATTTACCTGGATAATAAACAACCAGCCATGATACTTGTAGTTTCAACCTTCGTCAACCAATCATTTATTCATAAAGAACGAGAAAAAAAAAAAAGAAAACACACAAAGAAAAGAAAGAACGAGAGAATGAGTATTATTTAGTTAGTGGTTAGATTGCAATTGCTCCTTACATCGAGAGAACACATTCACAAACAAGTATTTTTATGTTTCAGATTGACGGGAATAAACGCGTCATCCGTCGGCGAGAAAACGCCAACATCTGACGAGTTTGATTGAGAGAGAGGATTTTGTTTTTTGTTTTTTTTTAAAAAAGAAAAAAAAAAAAAAAAACGCCACGCGCTTATTGTCTGTCTGCGGTTAAAAACTCTCTCAATGGCTGAAGGAGATTATAATATGCCATCGCGCAATGATGATGGTGATCGAATACAGCAGCCAGAACAACAAGGTTTGAGATCTAAACTAATCATTGAAACTAATTACATAATTTTCTATTTCATAGGTAGCGCGTTGGCCCATGAAGAAGAATTAGCAAGTAGAACTCTTCATATACAATCGAAACGTTTTTATTTGGATGTTAAACAAAATCGACGTGGTAGATTTTTAAAAATAGCTGAAGTAATTAATATTCTTAATCCTTTTTTGTTTACATCTATTTTTTTTTCTCTCGGTTATTACAGGTTAGTTCCGGTGGTCGTAAAAGTCGTATATTAATGTCAATGAATATTGCAAGTGAATTACGTGATAATTTACAATCCTTTGATGCATATCTTCGTACACTAGGTTATACAAAAAGATGTTTTTATCTGAGAATTTTTTTTTTTTTTGTTTTGTCATTTATCTTTAAGATGAACAATCCGTTACTACTGATCAACTTCGATCAGCTGTTATATCACGTGATGATCGAAAATATTATCTTGATTTAAAAGAAAATGAACGTGGAAGATTTTTACGTATTTCAATGGTTGGAATTAATACACCACGAACACAAATTGCTATACCAGCACAAGGTATACAAGAATTATGTGAAACATTAACAAGTTTAATTGAAGAATTTGGAAATGAAGATGATCATGGTAATATGAAGTTTTTATTCTAAATCCAAATGATGACAATAGATAGTTGAACTATTAACAGTCTTCGACAAAATTAGCCGTTCCTGTGCATAGATCTTGAGGTGGGACGTAGAAGCCGTCAGGTCCTAGTAGGAGGCCTAATCTCTCGTCGTGTTTTCGAATTTTTTCCAGCCCATTCCATTTTGAAAAAGTATCGCAAGCCTTGCCGTGATAAAGTTTTACTAATTTTTATGTGGCGCTACTTTTTGCATCCGTACAACAATGAGCCATGATCGCAAGGACAAAGTCGCCCTCGATCTCTGCACATGTACTACAGTTATGATTGCTACATATTTTTCCCTTGTCAAAAACTGCTTGTTCGTCATTTTAATAGTCCACAAGTCAATATTGTTTTGTTTTCTAGCGCTAAGGGTTGTTCCATATGTCTCTACTTTAGTATCATCGAACCAGATGGCACATAGTCAAGGTTTTCGTAATTAGTACGTCTTATAATGGTGAATTCATGTCATAGCACTAACATGACTTCATTCAATGCAATGACTGTAAAATTTCTACAAGCGATTTCTCATCATGAAAAAAATCTATTTCTATTAACAATATGCATTTATTCTTCTGCAGACATTTTTAATGAGAAAATAATAAACTAGTTATTTTATAGTGATTTCTATTGAAATTTAGATTAGAGATAACGACGACATTGACCTTTCGAATTAGAAGTTCGTCAAAAAGATATTTGTAGCAACATTGTTAAGATAAGGTAGTCACAAAAACAAGATGATGTCTGACTCATAACTTGAGTACATCTTAGTCAATAGAGGGCGGGTTAGTGCTTGCTTTAATATTTATTGTCGCACGTATGCAGCTAAGGTATCAATTGAATATGATAAAAAAAATAGTAGAATTTCACGGAGGGCAACTACTTCTTTCCTGGAGTGTCTATATATAATGGTTTTATTTTAATATTTTTTCTTTCTGTTTAGATAGTATTGAATCATTACCTGCAATAGGTAAGTTTATGTAATTTCGTTTTTTAACTAAGTGTTTTAAACATTTAGAGTGAAATTCGAATGAATAATAGTAAGAGTATTTTTTTTTTGGAAAAAAAGAAAATTCTTCAAAAGTTGTGTTACTGATATATAATGAAGCAATTTTAACCAAATGTTGAATTCTTTTAATCTTTGACAGGAGAGAAATATGCATAATCAAATGAATGATGTTCGCATTTGAATTGAAGCATTTTCTGGGTTTCATAATTTGGAATTTTTTGATTCGTGTCGTAATGTAGTCATAATTGTTGAGATTCAGCCGATTTTCACGTGTTTATTAAGGTTGACTTTTAATATAGAAGTAATGTAAATAGAAATTTTGCAAAATAATACAAATTGAAGTATCTGAAATAAGGATTGGAATGCTATGTATTATTATACCATCATTCGATTTTAAAACAATAGGCAAAATTATTTCTGATGATAAAATAATAATTGAATAGTCGATAGTTAAATTTTTGACTGATCTTCTTTCATATTCATATCTATATTTTAGAAAAATCATTCAGGCAAATATATCTCGATATAGTTTATGACATGAGAGTCTTAGCACAAAAGATTCAGATTCTGTGAAGACAACTGATTAGAACCTTTAATTTAAAGTATATGTTCAGATTTTCTTTCTCGGATAAGATTAAAGAGCTATTAGCAAGTTTTGTAGAAAAGTCCAAAACTGTGTTTGCACAAAGCGTTTTAGCGGAATTTTTAGTTTACGGAAAAGTTTCAACTCAACATTTTTGTAGAGCACTAAAATCTTTACCAAAGGAAATAGTACAACCAGCGAAATCTCGTGTAATTTCTTTTCCCCTGTACTAGCCCTCTGTACCTTTGTTGCTATTCGTTCGTTATTTTTCTTTTTTGTTCGACGTCTTTTTTTGAATAATTTAACATTATTATTATTATTCTAATGATTGATTTTACTGACAAGTAACTATCCATTATATCTGCAGCAGGTCTCGACGGATTATTGTATATGTCAATAAGTTCGCAAACACGGTTATTAATTATTCCCGAAAGTTATAATTTGATCAACTGACACTTTTTATGTTGACTATATGACGACTAGTAAACCAATGTGTCACTAACCATTATTCTTAACAGCTTAAATATAAATTTTTATATGCGCAAAAACGTATTTCAGCCAATTATACTTCGAAGAAGGCTTGAGAATTTTCTAGAATAGTATCAGAGTTATTGTTGACGTTATTCTGTGCTTTCTTCCGCTGTTTCGATCTGCGTTGTCAGAGAGAAGGCAGCAGCTGAAAGACTTCGACTTGAAAATTACGCATACTATTTCCTTGGAAAATAGATGTTTGTAGAAACTTATCAGATAGGGTGAAATAGAAAAATATATCAGGTGTTTTGAAATTGACCGATTGCAAACTGTTTCGTATTTTGAAGCAACTTGATAGAAGTTGTCTAATGTTATCCTAGAAAGAAATTCTGAACACATGATTAGAAAGATTGATTGTAACTAACTGCTTCTAACTTTAATCAGCTGTCCAAAAGATGAATGAATATTTTGTGACAAGACTTTTTTGCTTCATATGTGATTATAGTTAACCACATTTTTCTAGAAAGAATCTGAACTTATATCTATCGTTACTCTTATTACTTTATAGAGTTTATTATGTTAATAAAGCATGATCATAAGTACAAAAAGAATGCCGAGAGCATTGTTGCATGTTGGTCCAATGAATTTTAGATAAATAACGTGATTTTTACTTTTACTAAAATCAAAATTTGATGCTATTGAATAAACTAATAATTTATTTTATTGTTCATGAAAAATTTCTTATCTATTCTAGAACCAACCGAATTACCTGAAAGTAAATATCTTCGTGTCGGAAATAAAAGTTTTTATTTTGATAGTGGTTCAAATAATCGTGGTATTTTCTTACGTATATCAGAAGTAAGAAAAAGAAAAACTCATTTTTGCAAAATATAACTTTTATATTTAGGTTCGTCCTAATTATCGAACAGCTATTACAATACCAGAAAAAGTCTGGTCTCATTTTCGCGATAATATTAATGATTTTATTCTTACAATGAATAATCAACGAAATAATACAACATCAACAATAGATAGTTCTCCTTTAAATACTGGTGAAAGTTCACCCAGTGGTATAAATGAAGAGAAAAAATAAAACACTCTTCGAATTATTCTAATCGGTAGTTTTAGTCTCGTTTTCTCTTCTTTCTTCCTCTTTTCAAACACACAGACGAATTTAGTATTTATTCAGACTCTTAAAAAGAGCTCGGTATGTATAGGAAAACGAGCACAATGTTAAGACCTTGTTGGTTAGGGGCTTTTCCTATGTATAAAAACAACAACAACAACAACAATAAAACTAATTTTCTTTTATTATCTCTTCCTTTTAGCCGGTGTTGTTTTCTTTTTCTTTTTCTTTTTTTTTCTTGTTTGCTTCTATCATAATTAGAATCGAAAGTCTTTCGTACAGTAACCCATTTGCTTGTTGCGTATTTTATTTATTAATGAAACGAACTTCTTGCTTATTGTATGTAGATTAGTCGTCGTATGTATAAAATCGGGAAAGAAAAAAATATATTTTTATTTTGTTTTGTATCGTTGTATCTTATCTTTTTATTCCAAAAGTGGTATTTTTATTTTATTTTATTTTTTATCAAGAAGTTTATAACACAATGTCTTGATACAAAATTCACACACTCACACACCAATTATTATAATAAATGTAATGACAATCAAATAGAGTATTATCTTAATGTATTTTATCTTTAGATATGAATATTTCATTTTAAAAAAAAAACAAAAAAAAAAAAATAAGAACTTTCTAAATGCCTCTATTTGGACGAAGATTATTTCATCTTAATAATAATAATAATGATGAGAATTTAAAACAAGATAATGAAGAAATTTATACAATTGAACATACAGGTGAAAAATTTAATCAACGTGATTTATATGAAAAATTAAAAAAAGCATATGATTTGGAACGATGGACATGTGAATGTACATGGAGAGCTGGTTTAACACATAAAGAAGCATATCAATCAGAAATTGATATAAGAAAATCTTTATCATCAATGGTACCAAGTTATTTTCATAAACCAATTTTTGATATTATATATCATAGTAAGAATATTTTTATAAATAAATTTGAAATTTTCTTCAACGATTTTAATAGATGTAAAACCCTTAGAAAAATTGGCTGAAGAAGTGTCAATTATACTTGGGTATGAATTATTCGATTGTCTTCTTATTTTAACTTTTTGTTTTAGTCAAAGTTTTGTTATTGGTGAAATAGTTCAATTTAAAAAGAAAAAAGATAATACAACGTAAATATATATATATGTTATATAGATATATGACTTAGATTTTGTAATATAATTTATATTAAATAGTGTAAAAGGTATTGTCGAACGAATTGATGATAATGATGATCCAAAAAAAAGAACATCAGAACGTGCATCCGTTCAAGCGAAACTACCTTCAGATAAAGTAAGAAAATCTTTTTTGTGCATTATGAATATAATTTTCATTTTGAATAAAATAGCAAATGAAAAATGTTAAATATTCAATTCGATTAGCCGATGAAGATCGTGTAGTTAATAATGTTCTACCAAGTGAATTACAGTAAGCTAAAGAAGCCATGAATAAATAATTCTAATTGAATTTGTTCTTTTTTAGACGATGTAGTTTTATACCTAATCGTGAAAAATTAAAAACATTTATTCGTTCATATGCTATGAGACTTGGTAATCGAGCAGATAGTCCATGGATATTTTATGATAATTCAATAAAAGATAAATATGATATGAAAGATTCTATACCATCAGAAACAATTGAAAAAATTAAAAAATCTTTCACAATTACACTTGATGTAAATTAAGAATTTTTTTTTTTTTTTTTTTTTGTTGATTAAAAATATTTTGTTTTCGAAATAGGAAATTCTTCGTGAACAAGATAGAATTGCGCGTAAACTAGCTGAAGAAGAAGCTGCTGCTCGCGAAGAAAAAAATAAATCAATTGAAATTAATAATAATAGTAAGTAACATCAGTTAGTCTAGTTGAGGTTATCTATATGCACAATGTTTCAGATCAAAATACGAATTTTTTCGAAAAGTTGGAACTTTAGAAATAGCTTAGTGAAATACAGATGATTGAAATCTGAAAAGGTTTTCTCCTTAATTTATTTTGTTCATAAATGATTAGTTTCACGAAAATTGAGTGACAACAGGCTTATCTTACTAATATAGATTCATCTTAATTGCAGTATTAGCATTTACTAGTTGAAATATTTTGATGAACGAAATATATAAACAATGAATCAGATTAAAGTAGAAGTGTAGGCCGATGCATTGAATCAGTGGTAGCCGCTGAAATCTTTAGCAATCATTTTTAGCAACAGTAACAGTGCAACAGCTGATCGGCTTATAT